CCCCCACCCCCACCCACCCCCACCCAGGACGCCGCTCGCCATCGCCACTTGCCCCTGCGGCCTTGCCGAGGCTACGCGGGGAATCTTTGCCTCTGTGTCTCTGTGTGAACCCCTTCGCAGAGTTCCACTGCCAGAGCCATGGGCATCGCGTCTCCACCCCTTCCAGCGGCTCCTCCCGTTGCGTTGCCTCCGCTCGGACGCCCTCGGCGGGGCCATGCAGCGGCTGGTGGCCGAGACCCTGGGGCCCGAGTTCGTGGAGCCCGTGGTACCGTCCGTAGACGGAGACCCAGCCAGAGAGACACACACGCACTCAGCCAGAGAGACACACACACTCAGCCAGAGAGACACACACGCTCAGCCAGAGAGACACACACTCAGCCAGAGAGACACACACTCAGCCAGAGAGACACACACTCAGCCAGAGAGACACATACACTCAGCCAGAGAGACACACACTCAGCCAGAGAGACACGCACTCAGCCAGAGAGACACACTCAGCCAGAGAGACACACACACTGATAGACGTAGACCCAGCCTGAGAGACACATACACTCAGCCAGAGAGACACACACTCAGCCAGAGAGAGACACGCTCAGCCAGAGAGACACACACTCAGCCAGAGAGACACGCTCAGCCAGAGAGACACGCACTCAGCCAGAGAGACACACTCATAGACGTACACTCACTCATAGAGACACACTGATAGACGTAGAGACACACACACTCATAGACGTAGACTCAGCCAGAGAGACACACTCAGCCAGAGAGACACACTCACTGATAGACGTAGACTCAGCCAGAGAGACACACTCAGCCAGAGAGACACACTCATAGACGTACACTCAGCCAGAGAGACACACTCAGCCAGAGAGACACACTCATAGACATAGACTCAGCCATAGAGACACACTCATAGACGTAGACCCAGCCAGAGAGACACACTCACTCATAGACGGAGACCCAGCCAGAGAGACACGCTCAGCCAGAGAGACACACTCAGCCAGAGAGACACACTGATAGACGTACACTCACTCATAGAGACACACTGATAGACGTAGAGACACACACACTCATAGACGTAGACTCAGCCAGAGAGACACACTCAGCCAGAGAGACACATACACTCATAGACGTACACTCACTCATAGAGACACACTGATAGACGTAGAGACACACACACTCATAGACGTAGACTCAGCCAGAGAGACACGCACACTCAGCCAGAGAGACACACTCATAGACGTACACTCACTCATAGAGACACACTGATAGACGTAGAGACACACACACTCATAGACGTAGACTCAGCCAGAGAGACACGCACTCAGCCAGAGAGACACACTCATAGACGTACACTCACTCATAGAGACACATACTCTCATAGACGTACACTCAGCCAGAGAGACACACTCATAGACGTACACTCAGCCAGAGACATACACTCAGCCAGAGAGACACACTCATAGACGTACACTCAGCCAGAGACATACACTCAGCCAGAGAGACACACTCATAGACGTACACTCAGCCAGAGAGACACACTCAGCCAGAGAGAGACACGCTCAGCCAGAGAGACACACTCACTCATAGAGACACACTCACTGATAGACGTAGACCCAGCCAGAGAGACACACTCAGCCAGAGAGACACACTCACTCATAGAGACACACACACTGATAGACGTACACTCAGCCAGAGAGACACACTCATAGACATACACTCATAAACGTAGACCCAGCCAGAGAGACACACTCACTGATAGACGTACACTCAGCCAGAGAGACACACTCTTAGACGTAGAGACACACTCACTCATAGACGTAGACCCAGCCAGAGAGACACACTCAGCCAGAGAGACACATACACTCATAGACATACACTCACTCATAGACGTAGACCCAGCCAGAGAGACACACTCAGCCAGAGAGACACACTCACTCATAGAGACACACACACTGATAGACGTACACTCAGCCAGAGAGACACACTCATAGACATACACTCATAAACGTAGACCCAGCCAGAGAGACACACTCACTGATAGACGTACACTCAGCCAGAGAGACACACTCTTAGACGTAGAGACACACTCACTCATAGACGTAGACCCAGCCAGAGAGACACACTCAGCCAGAGAGACACATACACTCATAGACATACACTCACTCATAGACGTAGACCCAGCCAGAGAGACACACTCAGCCAGAGAGACACACTCACTGATAGACGTACACTCAGCCATAGAGACACACACACACATAGACGTACACTCAGCCAGAGAGACACACACATAGACGTACACTCAGCCAGAGACATACACTCAGCCATAGACGTAGAGACACACTCACTCATAGACGTAGACCCAGCCATAGACATACACTCAGCCAGAGAGACACACACACTGATAGACGTAGACTCAGCCAGAGAGACACGCCCATAGACATACACTCACTCATAGAGACACATTCATAGACGTAGACTCAGCCATAGAGACACACTCGTAGACATACACTCACTCATAGAGACCCACTCATAGACATACACTCACTCATAGAGACCCACTCATAGACATACACTCAGCCATAGAGACCCGCCCATAGACGTAGACTCAGCCATAGACGTAGACTCAGCCAGAGACGTACACTCACTCATAGAGACACATACACTCATAGACGTAGACCCAGCCAGAGAGACCCGCCCATAGACGTACACTCAGCCATAGACATACACTCACCCATAGAGACACACACACTCATAGACATACACTCACCCATAGAGACACACACACTCATAGACGTACACTCAGCCATAGAGACCCGCCCATAGACATACACTCACCCATAGAGACACACTCATAGACATACACTCCCTCATAGAGACACACTCATAGACATACACTCAGCCATAGAGACACATACACTCAGCCATAGAGACACGCGCATAGACGTACACTCAGCCATAGAGACACATACACTCAGCCATAGACATACACTCAGCCATAGAGACCCAGTCATAGACATACACTCAGCCATAGAGACACAAAGATCCCCCATATAGCCTGTAACAGACTGTAGGGGCAAGTGCTGTTAGCGAGCACCTATGAAGGCCGGAATGGTACACGAGGGGGTGGGTGGCCAGCACCACGCCCGACCGCCTTTGTCTCCCCAGTCGCGATGTTTACACACCGCACCAGGTACTCATTTGAGGCTGAGTCGACCTAGGGGAGGCCCGGGACCGGTTCAGATAATCGTCACTGGTGTTGGCCGTGAGCGGGAATCGAACTCCGGGTCGCCAGGTTCATAGTGCAGCGTAGCGCTAACCGCTACACTACCGCTCACTCATAGAGACACACTCATAGATATACACTCAGCCATAGAGACCCGCCCATAGACGTACACTCATTCATAGACATACACTCATAGACATACACTCACTCATAGAGACACACTCATAGACATACACTCACTCATAGAGACACACTCATAGACATACACTCACTCATAGAGACACACTCATAGACATACACTCACTCACAGAGACACACTCATTCATAGAGACACTCATAGACATACACTCACTCATACAGACACATACACTCACTCATAGAGACACACTCATAGACATACACTCAGCCATAGAGACACTCATAGACATACACTCACTCATAGACATACACTCAGCCATAGAGACCCGCCCATAGACATACACTCACTCATAGAGACCCGCCCATAGACATACACTCACTCATAGAGACCCACTCATAGACATACACTCACTCATAGAGACCCACTCGTAGACATACACTCACTCATAGAGACCCGCCCATAGACATACACTCACTCATAGAGACCCACTCGTAGACATACACTCACTCATAGAGACCCACTCGTAGACATACACTCACTCATAGAGACCCGCCCATAGACATACACTCACTCATAGAGACCCACTCATAGACATACACTCACTCATAGAGACCCACTCATAGACATACACTCACCCATAGAGACACACTCGTAGACATACACTCACTCATAGAGACCCGCTCATAGACATACACTCACTCATAGAGACCCGCCCATAGACGTACACTCACTCATAGAGACACACTCATAGACATACACTCACCTATAGAGACACACTCATAGACATACACTCACTCTTAGACATACACTCACCCATAGAGACACACTCATAGACATACACTCACCCATAGAGACCCGCCCATAGACATACACTCACCCATAGAGACACACTCATAGACATACACTCAGCCATAGAGACACGCCCATAGACATACACTCACCCATAGAGACCCGCCCATAGACATACACTCACTCATAGAGACACGCTCATAGACATACACTCATAGACATACACTCACCCATAGAGACCCGCCCATAGACATACACTCACCCATAGAGACACACTCATAGACATACACTCAGCCATAGAGACACGCCCATAGACGTACACTCACCCATAGAGACACACTCATAGACATACACTCACTCATAGAGATCCACTCATAGACATACACTCACTCATAGAGACACATACACTCATAGAGACACGCTCATAGACATACACCATCATAGACATACACTCACCCATAGAGACCCGCCCATAGACATACACTCACCCATAGAGACCCGCCCATAGACATACACTCACTCATAGAGACCCACTCATAGACATACACTCACTCATAGAGACCCACTCGTAGACATACACTCACTCATAGAGACCCACTCGTAGACATACACTCACTCATAGAGACCCACTCGTAGACATACACTCACTCATAGAGACCCGCTCATAGACATACACTCACTCATAGAGACCCACTCATAGACATACACTCACTCATATAGACACACAGACTCACCACACAGAGACCCACAGACTCACCACACAGAGACACCCACACTCACCACACAGAGACCCACAGACTCACCACACAGACATACACAGAGACCCACAGACTCACCACACAGAGACACACAGACTCATCACACAGAGACTCAAAGACTCACCACATAGATACCCACACACTCACTGCACTGAGACCCACAGACTCACCTCACAGAGACCCACAGACTCACCACACAGACACTCACAGACTCACCACACAGAGACCCACAGACTCACCACACAGACACTCACAGACTCACCACACAGACACCCACAGACTCACCACACAGAGACCCACACACTCACCACACAGAGACCCACAGACTGACCACACAGACACCCACAGACTCACCACACAGAGACACCCACAGACTCACCACCACACAGAGACCCACAGACTCACTACACAGACACCCACAGACTCACCACACAGACTCACCACCACACAGACTCACCACACAGAGACCCACAGACTCACCACCACACAGAGACCCACAGACTCACCACACAGACACCCACAGTCTCACCACACAGAGACCCACAGACTCACCACCACATAGAGACCCACAGGCTCACCACACAGAGACCCACAGACTCACCACCACACATACACCCACAGACTCACCACACAGACTCACCACCACACAGACTGACCACACAGACTCACCACACAGAGACCCACAGACTCACCACCACACAGAGACACCCACAGACTCACCACACACACACAGAGACTCACCACCACACAGACTCACCACTACACAGACACACAGACTCACTCACCACCACACACAGACTCACCACCACACACAAACTCACCACCACACAGACTCACCACCACCACACAGACACACACAGACTCACCACCACACAGAGACTCACCACCACACAGAGACTCACCACCACACAGACACCACACAGACTCACCACACAGACTCACCACACAGAGACTCACCACCACACAGACTCACCACACAGACACCACACAGACTCACCACACAGAGACTCACCACCACCACCACACCCTCTGCTCACCACGTGTGTGTGTGTAGGTGTCCACAGACTCACCACCACACAGACTCACCACACACAGACTCACCACAGACTCACCACAGTTTCACCACCACAGACACTCATCACCACACAGAGACTCACCACCACACAGAGACTCACCACCACACAGAGACTCACCACCACACAGAGACTCACCACCACACAGACACTCACCACAGACTCACCACCACACACAGACTCACCACCACACAGACACTCACCACAGAGACTCACCACAACCACACCCTCTGCTCACCACGTGTGTGTCTGTGTGTCTGTAGGTGTCCACAGACTCACAACCACACAGACTCACCACCACACACACTCACAACCACCACCACACACACTCACCACACAGAGACTCACCACCACCACCACACCCTCTGCTCACCACGTGTGTGTAGGTGTAGGTGTCCACAGACTCACCACCACACACAGACTCACCACAGACTCACCACCACACACAGACTCACCACCACACACAGAGACACACAGAAACACAGACTCACCACACACACAGACTCACCACCACCACACACAGAGACTCACCACCACCACCACACCCTCTGCTCACCACGTGTGTGTGTGTCCACATACTCACCACCACACACACCACCACCACACACAGACTCACCACACAGAGACTCACCACCACACACACACTCACCACCACACAGAGACTCACCACCACCACCACACCCTCTGCTCACCACGTGTGTCTGTGTGTAGGTGTCCACACACTCACCACCACACACAGACTCACCACCACACAGAGACTCACCACCACACAGAGACTCACCACCACACAGAGACTCACAACCACCACCACCACCACACCCTCTGCTCACCACGTGTGTCTGTGTGTGTGTAGGTGTCCACACTCTCACCACCACACAGACTCACCACCACACAGACTCACCACAGACTCACCACACAGACTCACCACCACACACACACTCACCACGACACAGACACTCACCACACAGAGACTCACCACCACCACCACCACACCCTCTGCTCCCCACGTGTGTCTGTGTGTGTGTGTGTGTCTGTGTGTGTGTGTGTCTGTGTGTGTGTCTGTGTGTGTGTCTGTGTCTGTGTGTGTGTCTGTGTGTGTCTGTGTGTCTGTGTGTGTGTGTGTGTCTGTGTGTCTGTGTGTGTCTGTGTCTGTGTGTGTATCTCTGTGTGTCTGTGTGTGTGTCTGTGTGTGTCACTGTGTGTGTGTGTGTTTGTGTGTGTGTGTCTGTGTGTGTGTCTGTGTGTGTGTCTGTGTGTGTCTGTGTGTGTGTGTGTGTCTGTGTGTGTGTGTGTGTGTCTGTGTGTCTGTGTCTGTGTGTGTCTGTGTGTGTGTCTGTGTGTCTGTGTGTGTGTGTAGGTGTCCGACCTGGCTGCGGTGTTTGCCGACGCGTCTCCCACCGTGCCGGTGCTGCTGCTGCTGTCCGCCGGCACCGATCCGGCGTCGGCCCTCGCCACCTACGCCCAGGAGCGGCGATTCGCCAAGAAGCTGAACGCCGTCTCGCTGGGACAGGGACAGGTGGGGGAGTGAGACACGGGGACAGGGACAGGGAGACACGGGGACAGGGGGACAGGGGGACAGGTGAACGCCGTCTCGCTGGGACAGGGACAGGTGGGGAGAGACACGGGGACAGGGACAGGTGGGCGGGGACACGGGGACAGGGACAGGTGGTGGGGGAGACACGGGGACAGGGACAGGTGGGCGGGGACACAGGGACAGGGACAGGTGGGGGAGACACGGGGACAGGTGGGGGAGTGAGACACGGGGACAGGGACAGGGACAGGTGGGGGAGTGAGACACGGGGACAGGGACAGGTGGGGAGAGACACGGGGACACGGGGACAGGGAGACACGGGGACAGGGACAGGTGGGGGAGTGAGACACGGGGACAGGGACAGGGACAGGTGGGGGAGTGAGACACGGGGACAGGGAGACAGGGACAGGTGGGGGAGTGAGACACGGGGACACGGGGACACGGGGACAGGGACAGGTGGGGGAGACACGGAGACACAGGGACAGGTGAACGCCGTCTCGCTGGGACAGGGACAGGTGGGGGAGTGAGACACGGGGACACGGGGACAGGGACAGGTGGGGGAGACACGGGGACACAGGGACAGGTGAGCGCCGTCTCGCTGGGACAGGGACAGGTGGGGGGAGACACGGGGACAGGGACAGGGACAGGTGGGAGACACGGGGACAGGTGGGGGAGACACGGGGACAGGGACAGGTGGGCGGGGACAGGTGAGGAGAGTGAGACACGCGGAGCGTGGGACAGAGACACTGGGAGACTGGGTTCAGCACTTTGTCTGGGCATCTCTCTGTCTCTCTGTCTCTCTGTCTCTGTGTCTCTGTCTCTCTGTGTCTCTATCTCTGTCTCTCTGTCTCTGTCTCTCTGTCTCTCTCTGTCTCTCTCTGTGTGTCTCTGTGTCTCTCTGTCTCTGTGTCTCTGTGTCTCTATCTCTGTCTCTCTGTCTCTCTCTGTGTCTCTCTGTCTCTGTGTCTGTCTCTGTGTCTCTCTGTCTCTGTCTCTCTCTGTGTGTCTCTGTGTCTCTGTGTCTCTGTCTATCTCTCTCTGTCTCTCTGTCTATCTCTCTCTGTCTCTGTGTCTTCTCTCTGTGTCTCTCTGTCTCTGTCTCTCTGTCTCTGTGTCTGTGTCTCTGTGTCTCTGTGTCTCTGTCTCTCTGTCTCTGTGTCTCTGTGTCTCTGTCTCTCTGTCTCTATCTCAATCTCTGTCTCTCTGTGTCTCTGTATCTCTGTGTCTCTGTCTCTGTGTCTCTGTTTCTCTATCTCTGTCTCTGTGTGTCTGTGTCTATCTCTCTGTCTCCGTGTCTCTGTCTCTGTGTCTCTGTGTCTCTATCTCTGTCTCCGTGTCTCCGTGTCCAGGGTCCGAGGGCGGAGGCTCTGATGCGAGCGTCGATGGAACGTGGACGCTGGCTGTTTCTACAGAACTCTCTCTCTGTGTCTCTCTGTCTCTGTCTCTCTGTTTTCGTGTCTATCTCTGTCTCCGTGTCTCTGTCTCCGTGTCTATCTCTGTCTCCGTGTCTCCGTGTCTCCGCGTCCAGGGTCCGAGGGCGGAGGCTCTGATGCGAGCGTCGATGGAACGTGGACGCTGGCTGTTTCTACAGAACTCTCTCTCTGTCTCTCTCTGTGTCTCTGTCTCTGTCTCTGTGTCTCTCTGTCTCTCTCTCTGTCTCTCTGTCTCTGTGTCTCTGTCTCTGTGTCTCTGTCTCCGTGTCCAGGGTCCGAGGGCGGAGGCTCTGATGCGAGCGTCCATGGAACGTGGACGCTGGCTGTTTCTACAGAACTCTCTCTCTCTGTGTCTCTCTGTCTCTCTGTCTATCTTTGTCTCTGTGTGTCTCTCTGTCTCTGTGTCTCTCTCTGTCTATCTCTGTCTCTCTGTCTCTCTGTCTCTGTCTCCCTGTCTCCGCGTCCAGGGTCCGAGGGCGGAGGCTCTGATGCGAGCGTCGATGGAGCGTGGACGCTGGCTGTTTCTACAGAACTCTCTCTCTGTGTCTCTGTGTTTCTCTCTCTGTCTCTCTGTCTCTCTGTCTCTCTGTCTATCTCTGTCTCTCTATCTCTGTCTCTCTGTCTCCGTGTCTATCTCTGTCTCCTTGTCTCTGTCTCCCTGTCTCCGCGTCCAGGGTCCGAGGGCGGAGGCTCTGATGCGAGCGTCGATGGAACGTGGACGATGGCTGTTTCTACAGAACTCTCTCTCTGTGTCTCTGTCTCTCTGTCTCTGTGTCTCTGTCTCTCTCTGTCTCTGTGTCTCTGTGTCTCTGTCTCACTCTCTGTCTCTGTGTCTCTCTCTGTGTCTCTGTCTCCGTGTCTATCTCTGTCTCTGTGTCTCTGTGTCCGCGTCCAGGGTCCGAGGGCGGAGGCTCTGATGCGAGCGTCGATGGAGCGTGGACGCTGGCTGTTTCTACAGAACTCTCTCTCTGTCTCTCTGTCTCTGTGTCTCTCTCTCTGTGTCTCTCTCTCTCTGTCTCTCTATCTCTGTCTCCGTGTCTCTGTCTCCGTGTCTCCGCGTCCAGGGTCCGAGGGCGGAGGCTCTGATGCGAGCGTCGATGGAGCGTGGACGCTGGCTGTTTCTACAGAACTCTCTCTCTGTGTCTCTGTGTTTCTCTCTCTGTGTCTCTGTCTCTCTGTCTCTCTGTCTCTCTGTCTATCTCTGTCTCTCTATCTCTGTCTCTCTGTCTCCGTGTCTATCTCTGTCTCCGTGTCTCTGTCTCCCTGTCTCCGCGTCCAGGGTCCGAGGGCGGAGGCTCTGATGCGAGCGTCCATGGAACGTGGACGCTGGCTGTTTCTACAGAACTCTCTCTCTGTGTCTCTCTCTGTCTCTGTGTCTCTGTCTCACTCTCTGTCTCTGTGTCTCTCTCTGTGTCTCTGTCTCCGTGTCTATCTCTATGTCTCTGTGTCTCTGTGTCCGCGTCCAGGGTCCGAGGGCGGAGGCTCTGATGCGAGCGTCGATGGAGCGTGGACGCTGGATGTTTCTACAGAACTCTCTCTCTCTGTGTCTCTGTGTCTCTCTCTCTGTGTCTCTGTCTCTCTGTCTCTCTGTCTCTCTGTCTATCTCTGTGTCTCTGTCTCCGTGTCTCTGTCTCCGTGTCTATCTCTGTCTCTGTGTCTCTGTGTCCGCGTCCAGGGTCCGAGGGCGGAGGCTCTGATGCGAGCGTCGATGGAACGTGGACGCTGGCTGTTTCTACAGAACTCTCTCTCTGTGTCTCTCTGTGTCTCTGTCTCTCTGTCTCTGTGTCTCTGTGTCTCTCTATCTCTGTCTCTCTGTCTCTGTGTCTCTGTCTCTGTGTCTCTGTCTCCGTGTCCAGGGTCCGAGGGCGGAGGCTCTGATGCGAGCGTCCATGGAACGTGGACGCTGGCTGTTTCTACAGAACTCTCTCTCTGTGTCTCTCTCTGTCTCTGTGTCTATCTTTGTCTCTGTGTGTCTCTCTGTCTCTGTGTCTCTCTCTGTCTATCTCTGTCTCTCTGTCTCTCTGTCTCTGTCTCCGTGTCTCCGTGTCCAGGGTCCGAGGGCGGAGGCTCTGATGCGAGCGTCGATGGAGCGTGGACGCTGGCTGTTTCTACAGAACTTTCTCTCTGTGTCTCTGTCTCTCTCTCTGTGTCTCTGTCTCTCTGTCTCTGTGTCTCTGTCTCTCTGTCTCTCTGTCTATCTCTGTCTCTCTGTCTCTGTGTCTCTGTCTCCGTGTCTCTGTCTCCGCGTCCAGGGTCCGAGGGCGGAGGCTCTGATGCGAGCGTCGATGGAGCGTGGACGCTGGCTGTTTCTACAGAACTCTCTCTCTGTGTGTCTCTGTGTCTCTCTCTCTCTCTGTCTCTGTGTCTCTCTTTCTGTCTCTCTATCTCTGTCTCCGTGTCTATCTCTATCTCTGTGTCTCTGTCTCCCTGTGTCCGCGTCCAGGGTCCGAGGGCGGAGGCTCTGATGCGAGCGTCGATGGAACGTGGACGCTGGCTGTTTCTACAGAACTCTCTCTCTCTGTGTCTCTCTGTCTCTCTCTCTGTGTCTCTGTGTCTCTCTGTCTCTGTCTCTCTATCTCTGTCTCTCTGTCTATCTCTGTCTCTCTGTCTCTGTGTCTCTGTCTCCGTGTCTCTGTCTCCGCGTCCAGGGTCCGAGGGCGGAGGCTCTGATGCGAGCGTCGATGGAGCGTGGACGCTGGCTGTTTCTACAGAACTGTCACCTGGCTCCCAGTTGGATGCCCACACTCGAGACCCTCGTCAGCAGCATCGAGCCGGACAAGGTGAGCCGGTGCCAGGCTAGGTGCACCAGGGGGTGTCACGTGACAGACCCTGCAGGTGTCTATGGGTTGACTGCTGTGCCAGGCTAGGTGCACCAGGGGGTGTCACGTGACAGACCCTACAGGTGTCTATGGGTTGACTGCTGTGCCAGGCTAGGTGCACCGGGGAGGGGTCACGTGACAGACCCTACAGGTGTCTGTGGGTTGACTGCTGTGCCAGGCTAGGTGCACCAGAGGAGTGTCACGTGACAGACCCTACAGGTGTCTATGGGTTGACTGCTGTGCCAGGCTAGGTGCACCTGGGGGTGTCACGTGACAGACCCTACAAGTGTCTATGGGTTGACTGCTGTGCCAGGCTAGGTGCACCGGGGTGGGGTCACGTGACAGACCCTACAGGTGTCTATGGGTTGACTGCTGTGCCAGGCTAGGTGCACGAGGGGTGGTGGGTCACGTGACAGACCCTACAGGTGTCTGTGGGTTGACTGCTGTGCCAGGCTAGGTGCACCTGGGAGGGGTCACGGGACGGACCCTACAGGTGTCTGTGGGTTGACCGCTGTGCCAGGCTAGGTGCACGAGGGGTGGTGGGTCACGTGACAGACCCTACAGGTGTCTGTGGGTTGACTGCTGTGCCAGGCTAGGTGCACCTGGGGGTGGGGTCACGTGACAGACCCTACAGGTGTCTATGGGTTGACTGCTGTGCCAGGCTAGGTGTACGAGGGGGTGTCACGTGACAGACCCTACAGGTGTCTGTGGGTTGACTGCTGTGCCAGGCTAGGTGCACCGGGGAGGTGTCACGTGACAGACCCTGCAGGTGTCTACGGGTTGACTGCTGTGCCAGGCTAGGTGCACCAGGGGGTGGGGTCACGTGACAGACCCTACAGGTGTCTACGGGTTGACTGCTGTGCCAGGCTAGGTGCACGAGGGAGGTGTCACGTGACAGACCCTACAGGTGTCTGTGGGTTGACTGCTGTGCCAGGCTAGGTGCACCGGGGAGGTGTCACGTGACAGACCCTACAGGTGTCTGTGGGTTGACTGCTGTGCCAGGCTAGGTGCACCTGGGGGTGGGTGGGGTCACGTGACAGACCCTACAGGTGTCTGTGGGTTGACTGCTGTGCCAGGCTAGGTGCACCAGGGGGTGTCACGTGACAGACCCTACAGGTGTCTATGGGTTGACTGCTGTGCCAGGCTAGGTGCACCTGGGGGTGGGGTCACGTGACAGACCCTACAGGTGTCTACGGGTTGACTGCTGTGCCAGGCTAGGTGCACCTGGGGGTGGGGTCACGTGACAGACCCTACAGGTGTCTATGGGTTGACTGCTGTGCCAGGCTAGGTGCACCAGGGTGGAGGTCACGTGACAGACCCTACAGGTGTCTATGGGTTGACTGCTGTGCCAGGCTAGGTGCACCTGGGGGTGGGTGGGGTCACGTGACAGACCCTACAGGTGTCTGTGGGTTGACTGCTGTGCCAGGCTAGGTGCACCTGGGGGTGGGTGGGGTCACGTGACAGACCCTACAGGTGTCTATGGGTTGACTGCTGTGCCAGGCTAGGTACACCTGAGGGTGTCACGTGACAGACCCTACAGGTGTCTACGGGTTGACTGCTGTGCCAGGCTAGGTGCACCTGGGGGTGGGTGGGGTCACGTGACAGACCCTACAGGTGTCTGTGGGTTGACTGCTGTGCCAGGCTAGGTGCACCAGGGGGTGTCACGTGACAGACCCTACAGGTGTCTATGGGTTGACTGCTGTGCCAGGCTAGGTGCACCAGGGGGTGGGTGGGGGTGTCACGTGACAGACCCTACAGGTGTCTGTGGGTTGACTGCTGTGCCAGGCTAGGTGCACGAGGGAGGTGTCACGTGACAGACCCTACAGGTGTCTGTGGGTTGACTGCTGTGCCAGGCTAGGTGCACGAGGCTAGGAGGTTACGGGACAAACCAGCCGACCCTGTGTCTGTCCCCATGTCTCTGTGTCTCTGTGTCTGTGTCTCTGTGTCTCTGTCTCACCAGTGTGTCTCTCTGTCTCTGTGTCTCTGTCTCACCAGTGTGTCTCTGTGTCTCTGTCTCACCAGTGTGTCTCTGTGTCTCTGTCTCACCAGTGTGTCTCTCTGTCTCTGTCTCACCAGTGTGTCTCTCTGTCTCTGTCTCACCAGTGTGTCTCTGTGTCTCTCTGTGTCTCTGTGTCTCTGTCTCACCAGTGTGTCTCTGTGTCTCTGTCTCACCAGTGTGTCTCTGTGTCTCTCTGTCTCTGTGTCTCTGTGTCTCTCTGTGTCTCTGTGTCTCTGTCTCACCAGTGTCTCTCTGTGTCTCTGTGTCTGTGTGTCTCCAGGTCCACAGAGACTTCTGTCTCTGTCTTACCAGTGTGTCTCTGTGTCTCTGTCTCTGTGTCTCACCAGTGTGTCTCTGTGTCTCCAGGTGCACAGAGACTTCTGTCTCTGTCTCACCAGTCTGTCTCTCTGTCTGTGTCTCTGTCTGTGTCTCCAGGTCCACAGAGATTTCTGTCTCTGTCTCACCAGTGTGTCTCTCTGTCTCTCTGTCTCTCTGTGTCTGTGTCTCTGTCTGTGTCTGCAGGTGCACAGAGATTTCTGTCTCTGTCTCACCAGTCTGTCTCTCTGTCTGTGTCTCTGTGTCTCTGTCTCTGTCTCTGTGTCTCTCTGTCTGTGTCTCCAGGTGCACAGAGACTTCTGTCTCTGTCTCACCACTGTGTCTCTGTGTCTCTCTGTGTCTCTGTCTCTGTGTCTCTGTGTCTCTGTCTCACCAGTGTGTCTCTGTGTCTCTGTGTCTCTCTGTCTCCAGGTCCACAGAGACTTCTGTCTCTGTCTCACCAGTGTGTCTCTGTCTCTCTGTCTCTCTGTGTCTCTGTGTCTCTGTCTCTGTGTCTCTGTCTGTGTCTCCAGGTGCACAGAGACTTCTGTCTCTGTCTTACCAGTGTGTCTCTCTGTCTCTGTGTCTCTGTCTCTGTCTCTGTGTCTCTGTCTGTGTCTCCAGGTGCACAGAGACTTCTGTCTCTGTCTTACCAGTGTGTCTCTCTGTCTCTGTGTCTCTGTCTCTGTCTCTGTGTCTCTGTCTGTGTCTCCAGGTGCACAGAGACTTCTGTCTCTGTCTTACCACTGTGTCTCTGTCTCTGTGTCTGTGTGTCTCCAGGTGCACAGAGACTTCTGTCTCTGTCTTACCAGTGTGTCTGTGTCTCTGTGTCTGTGTGTCTCCAGGTGCACAGAGACTTCTGTCTCTGTCTTACCAGTCTTCCCAGTCCACATTTCCCAGTCGCCGTGCTACAGAACTCCTCCAAGATGGCCCTGGAGCCTCCACGCGGCCTCCGGAACAGCCTCGTGAAGGCCTTCACCGGCGTGGGTGAGGAGTTTGTGTCCTCCTGTGCCAAGGTGAGCTCCTACTCCTCCTCACCAACACCACTCACCAACACTCACCAACACTCACCAACACTCACCACCACCACTCACCAACACTCACCACCACCACTCAGCAACACTCACCACCACTCACCACTCCTCACCACCACTCACCACTCCTCATCACTCACCACTCCTCATCACTCACCACCACCACTCACCAACACTCCTCAATACTCACCACTACTCACCACTCCTCACCACCACCACTCATCATCACTCACCACTCCTCACCACTCACCACCACCACTCACCAACACTCACCACCACCACTCACCACCAACACCACTCACCACCACCACCACCACTACTCACCACCACTCACCACCACTCACCACTCACCACTCCTCCTCACCACCACCAACACCACCACCACTCACCACCAACACCAACACCACTCACCAACACTCACCACCACCACCACTCACCAACACTCACCACCACCACCACTCACCAACACTCACCACCACCACTCACCAACACTCACCACCAACACCAACACCACTCACCAACACTCACCACCACCACCACTCACCAACACTCACCACCACCACCACTCACCAACACTCACCACCACCACTCACCAACACTCACCACCACCACCACTCACCAACACTCACCAACACTCACCATCACCACTCACCAACACTCACCACCACCACCACTCACCAACACTCACCACCACTCCTCACCACCACTCCTCACCACCACTCACCACTCCTCATCACTCACCACCACCACTCACCAACACTCCTCAATACTCACCACTCACCACCACTCCTCACCACTCCTCCTCACCAACACCAACACCACTCACCAACACTCACCACCACCACTCAGCAACACTCACCACCACTCACCACTCCTCCTCCTCACGACCAACACCAACACCACTCACCAACACTCACCACTCACCACTCACCACCACCACCACTCACCACCACTCACCACCACCACTCAGCAACACTCACCACCACTCACCACTCCTCCTCCTCACGACCAACACCAACACCACTCACCAACACTCACCACCACCACTCACCACCACTCACCACCACCACTCCTCAACACTCCTCAACACCACTCACCACTCATCACTCACCACCACCACCACTCACCAACACCACCAACACTACTCACCACCACTCACCATCACTCACCACCACTCCTCACCACCACTCCTCACCACCACTCCTCACCACCACTCCTCACCACCACTCCTCACCGCTCACCATTTAACTCACCACCGCACCACGGGTTTGTGTCTCTGTCTGTGTCTCTGTCTGTGTCTCTGTCTGTGTCTTTGTCTGTGTCTCTATGTCTCTCACTGTGTCTCACTGTGTCTCTGTCTGTGTCTCTATGTCTCTGTCTGTGTCTCTATGTCTCTCACTGTCTCTCACTGTGTCTCTCACTGTGTCTCTCACTGTGTCTCTGTGTCCGTGTCTCTTACTGTGTCTCTCACTGTGTCTCTGTCTGTGTCTCTCACTGTGTGTCTGTGACTCTGACTGTGTCTCTGTCTCTCACTGTGTCTCTGTGTCTCTGTGTGTGTCTCTGTGTCTCTGTGTCTCTGTCTGTGTTTCTGTGTGTGTCTCTGTGTCTCTGTCTGTCTGTGTCTCTCACTGTGTCTCTGTGTCTCTGTCCATGTCTCTCACTGTCTCTCACTCACTGTGTCTCTGTGTCTCTCACTGTGTCTCTGTCTGTCTGTGTCTCTGTCTCTCACTGTGTCTCTGTGTGTGTCTGTGTGTCTCTGTGTGTGCAGCCGACGGAGCTGAAGTCTCTGCTTCTCGCTCTGTGTCTGTTCCACGGCGTGTCTCTGTCTGTGTCTCTCACTGTGTCTCTGTCTGTGTCTCTGTCTGTCTGTGTCTCTCACTGTGTCTCTCTCTGTGTCTCTGTGTCTCTCACTGTGTCTCTGTGTCTCTGTCTGTTTCTCTCACTGTCTCTCACTGTGTCTCTGTGTCTCTGTTTGTGTCTCTCACTGTGTCTCTGTCTGTGTCTCTATGTCTCTCACTGTGTCTTTGTGTCTCTGTCTGTGTCTCTTACTGTCTCTGTCTGTGTCTCTGTGTCTTTGTCTGTGTCTCTCACTGTCTCTCACTGTGTCTCTGTGTCTCTGTCTGTGTCTCTGTGTCTCTCACTTTCTCTGTCTGTGTCTCTGTGTCTCTGTCTGTGTCTCTCATTGTGTCTCTGTCTCTCTGTCTGTGTCTCTCACTGTGTCTCTGTCTGTGTCTCTGTCTGTGTCTCTGTGTCTCTCACTGTGTCTCTGTCTCTCTGTCTGTGTCTTTGTCTGTGTCTCTCATTGTGTCTCTGTGTCTCTGTGTGTGTCTCTGTGTCTCTGTGTGTGCAGCCGACGGAGCTGAAGTCTCTGCTTCTCGCTCTGTGTCTGTTCCACGGCGTGTCTCTGTCTGTGTCTCTCACTGTGTCTCTGTCTGTGTCTCTGTCTGTCTGTGTCTCTCACTGTGTCTCTCTCTGTGTCTCTGTGTCTCTCACTGTGTCTCTGTGTCTCTGTCTGTTTCTCTCACTGTCTCTCACTGTGTCTCTGTGTCTCTCTCTGTCTGTGTCTCTCATTGTCTCTGTGTCTCTCTCTCTGTGTGTGTCTCTGTCTGTGTCTCTCACTGTCTCTCACTGTGTCTCTGTCTGTCTGTGTCTCTCACTGTCTCTCACTGTGTCTCTGTGTGTGTCTCTGTCTGTGTCTCTGTGTCTCTGTCTGTCTGTGTCTCTCACTGTCTCTCACTGTGTGTCTGTGTCTCTCACTGTCTCTCACTGTGTCTCTGTGTCTCTGTCTGTGTGTGTCTCTGTGTCTCTCTCTGTCTGTGTCTCTGTGTCTCTGTGTCTCTCACTGTGTCTCTGTCTGTCTGTGTCTCTCACTGTGTCTCTATGTCTCTCACTGTCTCTCACTGTGTCTCTGTCTGTCTGTGTCTCTCACTGTGTCTCTGTGTCTCTCACTGTCTCTCACTGTGTCTCTGTGTCTCTGTCTGTGTCTCTCACAGTCTCTCACTGTGTCTCTGTGTGTGTCTCTGTCTGTGTCTCTGTGTGTGTCTCTGAGTGTGCAGCCGATGGAGCTGAAGTCTCTGCTTCTCGCTCTGTGTCTGTTCCATGGCGTGTCTCTGTCTGTGTCTCTGTGTCTCTCACTGTGTCTCTGTCTGTCTGTCTCTCTCACTGTGTCTCTCACTGTGTCTCTGTGTCTCTGTCTGTGTCTCTGTGTCTCTGTCTGTCTCTCACTGTGTCTCTGTGTCTCTGTCTGTGTCTGTGTGTCTCTGTCTGTGTCTGTGTCTCTGTGTGTGCAGCCAAACGAGCTGAAGTCTCTGCTTCTCGCTCTGTGTCTGTTCCACGGTGTGTCTCTGTCTGTGTCTCTGTCTGTGTCTCTGTGTCTCTGTGTGTGTCTCTGTGTGTGCAGCCGAACGAGCTGAAGTCTCTGCTTCTCGCTCTATATCTGTTACACGGCGTGTCTCTGTCTGTGTCTCTAACTGTGTCTCTGTGTGTGTCTCTGTTTCTCTGTCTATGTCTCTCACTGTGTCTCTGTCTCTCTGTCTGTGTCTGTGTGTCTCTGTGTGTGCAGCCGAACGAGCTGAAGTCTCTGCTTCTCGCTCTGTGTCTGTTCCACGGCGTGTCTCTGTCTGTGTCTCTGTGTCTCTCACTGTGTCTCTGTCTCTCTGTCTGTGTCTCTGTCTGTGTCTCTGTGCCTCTCACTGTCTCTCACTGTGTCTCTGTGTGTGTCTCTGTGTCTGTGTGTCTCTGTCTGTGTCTGTGTGTCTCTCACTGTGTCTCACTGTGTCTCTGTGTGTCTCTGTGTGTGCAGCCAAACGAGCTGAAGTCTCTGCTTCTCGCTCTGTGTCTGTTCCACGGCGTGTCTCTGTCTGTGTCTCTCACTGTGTCACTGTGTCTCACTGTGTCTCTGTGTGTGTCTCTGTGTCTGTGTGTCTCTGTCTGTGTCTGTGTGTCTCTCACTGTGTCTCACTGTGTCTCTGTGTGTCTCTGTGTGTGCAGCCGAACGAGCTGAAGTCTCTGCTTCTCGCTCTGTGTCTGTTCCACGGCGTGTCTCTGTCTGTGTCTCTGTGTCTCTCACTGTGTCTCTGTCTCTCTGTCTGTGTCTCTGTCTGTGTCTCTGTGTCTCTCACTGTCTCTCACTGTGTCTCTGTGTGTGTCTCTGTGTCTGTGTGTCTCTGTCTGTGTCTGTGTGTCTCTCACTGTGTCTCTGTGTGTCTCTGTGTGTGCAGCCGAACGAGCTGAAGTCTCTGCTTCTTGCTCTGTGTCTGTTCCACGGCGTGTCTCTGTCTGTGTCTCTCACTGTGTCACTGTGTCTCACTGTGTCTCTGTGTGTGTCTCTGTGTCTGTGTGTCTCTGTCTGTGTCTGTGTGTCTCTCACTGTGTCTCACTGTGTCTCTGTGTGTCTCTGTGTGTGCAGCCGAACGAGCTGAAGTCTCTGCTTCTCACTCTGTGTCTTTTCCACGGCGTGTCTCTGTCTGTGTCTCTGTGTCTCTCACTGTGTCTCTGTGTCTCTCACTGTGTCTCTGTCTCTCTGTCTGTGTCTCTGTCTGTGTCTCTGTGTCTCTCACTGTGTCTCTGTGTCTCTCACTGTGTCTCTGTGTCTCTGTGTCTCTGTCTGTGTCTGTGTGTGTGTCTCTGTGTGTGCAGCCAAACGAGCTGAAGTCTCTGCTTCTCGCTCTGTGTCTGTTCCACGGCGTGACTCTGTCTGTGTCTCTCACTGTGTCTCTGTGTCTCTGTGTGTGTCTGTGTGTCTCTGTGTGTGCAGCCAAACGAGCTGAAGTCTCTGCTGCTCGTTCTGTGTCTGTTCCACGGCGTGACTCTGTCTGTGTCTCTCACTGTGTCTCTGTGTCTCTGTCTGTGTCTGTGTGTCTGTTCCACGGCATGTCTCTGTCTGTCTGTGTCTCTGTGTCTGTCACTGTGTCTCTGTGTCTCTCACTGTGTCTCTGTGTCTCTGTGTCTCTCACTGTTTCTCTGTCTGTGTCTCTCACTGTGTCTCTGTGTCTCTGTGTGTGTCTCTGTGTGTGCAGCCGAACGAGCTGAAGTCTCTGCTTCTCGCTCTGTGTCTGTTCCACGGCGAGACTCTGTCTGTGTCTCTCACTGTGTCTCTGTCTGTGTCTCTGTGTCTCTGTGTGTGCAGCCGAACGAGCTGAAGTCTCTGCTGCTAGCTCTGTGTCTGTTCCACGGCGTGTCTGTGGAGCGCCGTCGCTACGGACCGCTGGGGTTCAACGTCCCCTATGAGTTCACGGAGGGCGACCTCGCCATCTGTGTGAGCCAGCTGCACATGTTCTTGGGAGAGTACAACAGCGTGCCCTTCAAGGTACCCGCCTACACCACCACCACCTACATCACCTACACTACCACCTACACCACCTACACCACCATCACCTACACCATCATCACCACCACCTACACCACCACCTACACCATCACCTACACCTACACCACCTACACTACCACCTACACCACCTACACCTACACCACCTACACCACCATCACCTACACCACCTACACCACTACCTACACCACCTACACCTACACCACTACCTACACCACCTACACCACTACCTACACCACCACCTACACCACCACCACCTACACCACCACCTACCCCATCACCTACACCTACACCACCTACACCATCACCTACACCATCACCTACACCTACACCACTACCTACACCACCTACACCTACACCACCTACACCACCATCACCTACATCACCTACACCACCACCTACACCACCTACACCACTACCTACACCACCTACACCACTACCTACACCACCTACACCACTACCTACACCATGTACACCACCACCTACATCACCTACACCATCACCTACACCACCTACACTACCACCTACACCACTACCTACATCACCTACACCACCTACACCACCACCACCTACATCACCTACACCACCACCTACACCACCACCACCTACATCACCTACACCACCTACACCACCACCTACACCACCTACACCACCACCTACACCACCTACACCATCACCTACACCACCACCTACACCACCTACACCATCACCTACACCACCTACACTACCACCTACACTACCACCTACACCTACACCACCTACATCACCTACACCACTACCTACACTACCACCTACACCACCTACATCACCTACACCATCACCTACACCGTTACCTACACCATCACCTACACCGTTACCTACACCACCACCTACACCACCTACATCACCTACACCACCACCACCTACATCACCTACACCACCACCTACACCACCACCTACACCACCTACACCATCACCTACACCACCTACACCACCACCTACACCATCACCTACACCACCTACACCACCACCTACACCACCACCTACACCACCTACACCACTACCTACACCACCACCTACACCGCTACCTACACCACCACCTACACCAACTTCACCACCACCTACACCATCACCAACACCTGCATCACCTACACCATCACCACCACCTACACCATCACCTACACCACCACCTACACCACCTACACCATCACCACCACCTACACCATCACCTACACCACCTACACCACCACCTACACCACTACCTACACCACCACCTACACCACTACCTACACCGTTACCTACACCACCACCTACACCACCTACACCACTACCTACACCACCACCTACACCACTAGCTACACCGTTACCTACACCACCACCTACACCACCTACACTACCACCTACACCACCTACACCACCACCTACACCACCTACACCACCACCTACACCACCTACACCACTACCTACATCACCTACACTACCACCTACACCTACACCACCTACACCACTACCTACACCACCTACACCATCACCTACACCATCACCACCACTACCTACACCACCTACACCACCACCTACACCACCTACACCACCACCTACACCACCTACACCACCACCTACACCACCTACACCATCACCTACACCATCACCACCACCACCTACACCACCTACACCACCACCTACACCACCTACACCACCACCTACACCACCTACACCACCACCTACACCACCTACACCATCACCTACACCATCACCACCACCACCTACACCACCATCACCACAACCTACACCATCACCTACACCACCACCACCACCACCACCTACACCACCTACATCACCTACACTACCACCTACATCACCACCTACACCACCTACACTCATCACCACCACCTACACCACCTACATCACCTACACCATCACCTACACCACTACCTACACCATCACCTACACCATCACCTACACCACCTACACCACTACCTACACCATTACCTACACCACCTACACTACCACCTACACCATCACCTACACCACCTACATCACCTACACTACCACCTACACCACCACCTACACCACCTACACCACCTACACCATCACCTACACCACCTACATCACCTACACCACCACCTACACCACCACCTACACCACCACCTACACCACCTACACCATCACCTACACCACCTACACCACCACCTACACCACTACCTACACCACTACCTACACCGTTACCTACACCACCACCTACACCACCTACACCACTACCTACACCACCACCTACACCACTACCTACACCGTTACCTACACCACCACCTACACCACCTACACTACCACCTACACCACCTACACCACCACCTACACCACCTACACCACCACCTACACCACCTACACCACTACCTACATCACCTACACTACCACCTACACCTACACCACCTACACCACCTACACCACTACCTACACCACCTACACCATCACCTACACCATCACCACCACCACCTACACCACCTAAACCACCACCTACACCACCTACACCACCACCTACACCACCTACACCACCACCTACACCACCTACACCATCACCTACACCATCACCACCACCACCTACACCACCTACACCACCACCTACACCACCTACACCACCACCTACACCACCTACACCACCACCTACACCACCTACACCATCACCTACACCATCACCACCACCTACACCACCACCACCTACACCATCACCTACACCACCACCACCACCTACACCACCTACATCACCTACACTACCACCTACATCACCACCTACACCACCTACATCACCTACACCATCACCTACACCACTACCTACACCATCACCTACACCATCACCTACACCACCTACACCACTACCTACACCATTACCTACACCACCTACACTACCACCTACACCATCACCTACACCACCTACATCACCTACACTACCACCTACACCACCACCTACACCACCTACACCATCACCTACACCACCTACATCACCTACACCACCACCTACACCACCACCTACACCACCTACACCACCTACACCATCACCTACACCACCTACATCACCTACACCACCACCTACACCACCACCTACAACACCACCACCTACACCACCTTCACCACCACCTACACCATCACCTACATCACCTACACCACCACCTACACCACCTACACCATCACCACCACCTACACCACCTACACCACCTACACCATCACCACCACCTACACCACCTACACCATCACCACCACCTACACCACCTACACCACCTACACCATCACCACCACCTACACCACCTACACCATCACCACCACCTACACCATCTACACCATCACCACCACCTACACCGCCACCTACACCATCACCACCACCTACACCGCCACCTACACCACCACCTACACCACCACCTACAACACCACCACCTACACCATCACCACCACCTACACCGCCACCTACACCATCACCACCACCTACACCGCCACCTACACCATCACCACCACCTACACCGCCACCTACACCATCACCACCACCTACACCGCCACCTACACCACCACCTACACCATCACCTACACCATCACCTACACCTACACCACCATCACCACCACCTACACCACCATCACCACCACCTACACCATCACCTACACCACCACCTACACCGCTACCTACACCACCACCTACATCACCTTCACCACCACCTACACCATCACCACCACCTGCATCACCTACACCATCACCACCACCTACACCATCACCTACACCACCACCTACACCACCTACACCATCACCACCACTTACACCATCACTACCACCTAAACCATCACCTACACCACCACCTACACCACCTTCACCACCACCACCACCTACACCACCACCTACACCACCTACACCATCACCACCACCTACACCACCATTACCATCACCTACACCACCACCTACACCACCACCACCCACACCATCCACACCACCACCACCTACACCATCACCAACTCACCCACCCACCCACTCACCAACTCACTCACTCACTCACCCACCCACCCACCCACCCCCCCACTCACTCACTCACTCACCCACCCACTCACCAACTCGCTCACTCACTAACTCACCCACTCACCCACCCACTCACCCACCCACCCACCCTCTCACCCACTCACCCACCCACCCACCCACTCACCAACTCACCCACTCACCAACTCACCCACTCACTAACTCACCCATCCACCCACCCACTCACCCACCCACTCACCCACCCACCCACTCACCAACTCGCTCACCCACCCACTCACCAACTCACCCACTCACCAACTCACCCACCCACTCACCCACTCACCCACCCACCCACTCCCTCACCCACCCACCCACTCACTCACCCACCCACCCACCCACTCACTCACCCACCCACCCACTCACCAACTCTCCCACCCACCAACTCACCCACTCACCAACTCACCCACCCACCCACCAACTCACCCACTCACCTACCGACCCACGCACCCACTCACCCACCCACCCACTCACCAACTCACCCACCCACTCACCCACCCACCCACTCACTCACACACCCACCCACCAACTCACTCACTCACCAACTCACCCACTCACCCACCCACCCACTCACCAACTCACCCACCCACCCACTCACCCACTCACCCACTCACTCACCCACGCACTCACCAACTCACTCACTCACCAACTCACCCACTTACCCACCCACCCACCCACTCACCCACCCACCCACCCACTCACCCACCCACCCACTCACTCACTCACTCACCCACCCACCCACCCACCCACTCACCCACTCACCCACCCACTCACCCACCCACTCACTCACCCACCCACCCACCCACTCACCAACTCACCAACCCACCCACCCTCTCACTCACCCTCTCACCCTCTCACCCACTCACCCACCCACCCACTCACCAACTCACTTACTCACCAACTCACCCTCTCACCCACCCACCCAAACACTCACCCACCCACCCACCCACCTACCCACACACCCACCCACTCACTCACACACTCACCAACTCACTCACCCACCCACCCACCCACTCACCAACTCACCCACCCAGCCACTCACCCACCCACCCAGCCACTCACCCACTCACCCACTCACCCACTCACCCACTCACCCACTCACTCACCAACTCACCCACTCACCGACTCACTCACCAACTCACCCACCCACTCACCAACTCACCCACTCACCCACCCACCCACCCACTCACCCACTCACCCACCCACCCACCCACTCACCCACCCACCCACCCACTCACCCACTCACCCACCCACCCACTCACCCACCCACTCACCAACTCACCCACCCACCCACTCACTCACCCACCCACTCACCCACTCACCAACTCACCCACTCACCCACCCACCCACTCACCCACTCACCAACTCACCCACACACCCACTCACCTACTCACCCACCCACTCACCCACCCACCCACTCACCCACTCACTCACCAACTCACCCACCCACTCACCCACCCACTCACTCACCCACCCACCCACCAACTCACTCACCAACTCACCCACTCACTCACCCACCCACCAACTCACCCACTCACTCATCCACCCACCCACTCACCCAACCACCCACCCACCCACCAACCCACCCACCCACCCACCCACTCACCCACCCACCCACTCACCCACCCACTCACCAACTCACTCACCCACCCACTCACCCACTCACTCACCCACTCACCAACTCACCCACTCACCCACCCACCCACTCACCCACTCACCAAATCACCCACACACCCACTCACCTACTCACCCACCCACTCACTCACCCACCCACCCACCCTCTCACCCACCCACCCACCCATCCACCCACCCACCCACCCACTCACCCACCCACCCACTCACCAACTCACCTACCCACTAACTCACCCACTCACCCACTCACACACTCACTCACCCACCCACCCACACACTCATCCACCCACCCACCCACCCTCTCACCCACCCACCCACCCTCTCACCCACCCACCCACCCACCCACTCACCCACCCACTCACCCACCCACCCACCCACTCACCCACCCACCCTCTCACCCACCCACTCACCCACCCACCCACTCACCCACCCACCCACTTACCAACTCACCCACTCACTAACTCACCCATCGACCCACCCACTCACCAACTCACCCACTCACCCACCCACTTACCAACTCACTCACCCACCCACTCACCCACTCACCCACCCCCACATCCACCAACTCACTCACCCACTCACCCACCCACCCACCCACTCACCCACCCACCCACCAACTCACCCACCCACCCTCTCACCAACTCACCCACTCACCCACCCACTCACCCACTCACCCACCCACCCACCCTCTCACCCACTCACCCATTCACTCACCAACTCACCCACTCACCCACTCACTCACCAACTCACCCACCCACTCACCAACTCACCCACTCACCCACCCACCCACTCACCCACCCACTCACCCACCCACCCACCCTCTCACCCACTTACCCACCCACCCACCCACTCACCCACTCACCCACCCACCCACCCTCTCACCCACTCACCCATTCACTCACCAACTCACCCACTCACCCACTCACTCACCAACTCACCCACCCACTCACCAACTCACCCACCCACTCACTCACCCACTCACCCACCCACTCACCCACCCACTCACCCACCCACCCACCCACCCACCCACCCACTCACCCACCCACCCACCCACCAACTCACCCACCCACCCTCTCACCCACTCACCCACCCACTCACCAACTCACCCACCCACCCACCCTCTCACCCACCCACCACCACCACCACCACCACCGTCTCACACCCCCAGGTGCTCAAGTTCACAGCCGGGCAGATCAACTACGGCGGGCGCGTGACGGACGACTGGGATCGCAGGACCCTGCTGGACCTGCTGAGCCACTTCTACAGCCCCGAGAGCCTGGTCCCCAGTCACACCTACACAGAGTGTGGGACCTACAGGCAGATAGCGACTAGCACTGAGCTGTCTGTGAGTAGCACTCAGTCACCTACACACTCACTCACTCACTCACCTACACACTCACCTACACACCTACACACTCACCTACACACCTACACACTCACCTACACACTCACCTACACACTCACTCACTCACTCACCTACACACTCACTCAATCACCTACACACTCACTCACTCACCTACACACTCACTCACCTACACACTCACTCACTCACTCACCTACACACTCACTCACTCACTCACCTACACACTCACTCACTCACACACTCACCTACACACTCACTCACTCACTCACCTACACACTCACCTACACACCTACACACTCACCTACACACCTACACACTCACTCACTCACCTACACACTCACTCACTCACCTACACACACACCTACACACTCACTCACTCACCTACACACTCACTCACTCACTCACCTACACACTCACTCACTCACCTACACACTCACAGCTACACAGAGTGTTGGACCTGCTGAGCCACTTCTACAGCCCCGAGAGCCTGGTCCCCAGTCACACCTACACAGAGTGTGGGACCTACAGGCAGATAGCGACTAGCACTGAGCTGTCTGTGAGTAGCACTCAGTCACTCACTCACCTACACACTCACTCACTCACTCACTCACCTACACACTCACCTACACACTCACTCACACACTCACCTACACACTCACTCACTCACCTACACACTCACAGCTACACAGAGTGCTGGACCTGCTGAGCCACTTCTACAGCCCCGAGAGCCTGGTCCCCAGTCACACCTACACGGAGTGTGGGACCTACAGGCAGATAGCGACTAGCACTGAGCTGTCTGTGAGTACTCACTCACTCACTCACCTACACACTCACTCACTCACTCACCTACACACTCACTCACTCACCTACACACTCACCTACACACTCACTCACTCACCTACACAATCACCTACACACTCACTCACTCACCTACACACTCACTCACCTACACACTCACTCACTCACCTACACACTCACCTACACACTCACTCACTCACTCACCTACACACTCACTCACTCACCTACACACTCACAGCTACACAGAGTGCTGGACCTGCTGAGCCACTTCTACAGCCCCGAGAGCCTGGTCCCCAGTCACACCTACACGGAGTGTGGGACCTACAGGCAGATAGCGACTAGCACTGAGCTGTCTGTGAGTAGCACTCACTCACTCACTCACCTACACACTCACCTACACACTCACCTACACACTCACTCACTCACCTACACACTCACTCACTCACCTACACACTCACTCACTCACTCACCTACTCACTCACTCACTCACCTACACACTCACTCACTCACCTACACACTCACCTACACACTCACTCACACACTCACTCACTCACCTACACACTCACTCACTCACCTACACACTCACTCACTCACCTACACACTCACTCACCTACACACTCACAGCTACACAGAGTGCTGGACCTGCTGAGCCACTTCTACAGCCCCGAGAGCCTGGTCCCCAGTCACACCTACACAGAGTGTGGGACCTACAGGCAGATAGCGACTAGCACTGAGCTGTCTGTGAGTAGCACTCAGTCACTCACCTACACACTCACCTACACACCTACACACTCACTCACTCACCTACACACTCACTCACTCACCTACACACTCACTCACTCACTCACCTACTCACTCACTCACTCACCTACACACTCACTCACTCACCTACACACTCACCTACACACTCACTCACACACTCACTCACTCACCTACACACTCACTCACTCACCTACACACTCACTCACTCACCTACACACTCACAGCTACACAGAGTGTTGGACCTGCTGAGCCACTTCTACAGCCCCGAGAGCCTGGTCCCCAGTCACACCTACACAGAGTGTGGGACCTACAGGCAGATAGCGACCAGCACTGAGCTGTCTGTGAGTAGCACTCAGTCACTCACCTACACACTCACCTACACACCTACACACTCACTCACTCACCTACACACTCACTCACTCACCTACACACTCACTCACTCACTCACCTACTCACTCACTCACTCACCTACACACTCACTCACTCACCTACACACTCACCTACACACTCACTCACACACTCACTCACTCACCTACACACTCACTCACTCACCTACACACTCACTCACTCACCTACACACTCACTCACTCACCTACACACTCACTCACCTACACACTCACAGCTACACAGAGTGCTGGACCTGCTGAGCCACTTCTACAGCCCCGAGAGCCTGGTCCCCAGTCACACCTACACAGAGTGTGGGACCTACAGGCAGATAGCGACTAGCACAGAGCTGTCTGTGAGTAGCACTCAGTCACTCACTCACCTACACACTCACTCACTCACCTACACACTCACTCACTCACCTACACACTCACTCACTCACCTACACACTCACTCACTCACTCACCTACACACTCACTCACTCACCTACACACTCACTCACTCACCTACACACTCACCTACACACTCACTCACCTACACACTCACTCACTCACCTACACACTCACTCACTCACCTACACACTCACTCACTCACTCACCTACTCACTCACTCACTCACCTACACACTCACTCACTCACTCACCTACACACTCACTCACCCACTCACCTACACACTCACTCACTCACACACTCACCTACACACTCACTCACTCACACACCTACACACTCACTCACTCACCTACACACTCACAGCTACACAGAGTGTTGGACCTGCTGAGCCACTTCTACAGCCCCGAGAGCCTGGTCCCCAGTCACACCTACACAGAGTGTGGGACCTACAGGCAGATAGCGACTAGCACTGAGCTGTCTGTGAGTAGCACTCAGTCACTCACTCACCTACACACTCACTCACTCACTCACCTACACACTCACCCACACACTCACTCACTCACCTACACACTCACCTACACACTCACTCACTCACTCACCTACACACTCACTCACTCACACACCTACACACTCACTCACTCACCTACACACTCACTCACTCACACACCTACACACTCACTCACTCACCTACACACTCACTCACTCACCTACACACTCACTCACTCACTCACCTACACACTCACTCACTCACCTACACACTCACCTACACACTCACTCACTCACCTACACACTCACAGCTACACAGAGTGCTGGACCTGCTGAGCCACTTCTACAGCCCCGAGAGCCTGGTCCCCAGTCACACCTACACAGAGTGTGGGACCTACAGGCAGATAGCGACTAGCACTGAGCTGTCTGTGAGTAGCACTCACTCACTCACTCACCTACACACTCACTCACTCACTCACCTACACACTCACTCACTCACTCACCTACACACTCACTCACTCACCTACACACTCACTCACTCACCTACACACTCACTCACTCACCTACACATTCACTCACTCACCTACACACTCACTCACTCACACACCTACACACTCACTCACTCACTCACCTACACACTCACTCACTCACCTACACACTCACTCACTCACTCACCTACACACTCACTCACTCACTCACCTACACACTCACTCACTCACACACTCACCTACACACTCACACACTCACACACCTACACACTCACTCACTCACCTACACACTCACAGCTACACAGAGTGCTGGACCTGCTGAGCCACTTCTACAGCCCCGAGAGCCTGGTCCCCAGTCACACCTACACAGAGTGTGGGACCTACAGGCAGATAGCGACTAGCACTGAGCTGTCTGTGAGTAGCACTCAGACACTCACCTACACACTCACTCACTCACCTACACACTCACCTACACACTCACTCACTCACTCACCTACACACTCACTCACCTACTCACTCACTCACCTACACACTCACTCACTCACCTACACACTCACCTACACACTCACTCACCTACACACTCACTCACTCACTCACACACTCATCTACACACTCACTCACTCACTCACCGACACACTCACTCACTCACCTACACACTCACTCACTCACTCACCTACACACTCACTCACCCACTCACCTACACACTCACTCACTCACACACTCACCTACACACTCACTCACTCACACACCTACACACTCACTCACTCACCTACACACTCACAGCTACACAGAGTGTTGGACCTGCTGAGCCACTTCTACAGCCCCGAGAGCCTGGTCCCCAGTCACACCTACACAGAGTGTGGGACCTACAGGCAGATAGCGACTAGCACTGAGCTGTCTGTGAGTAGCACTCAGTCACTCACTCACCTACACACTCACTCACTCACTCACCTACACACTCACCTACACACTCACTCACTCACCTACACACTCACCTACACACTCACTCACTCACTCACCTACACACTCACTCACTCACACACCTACACACTCACTCACTCACCTACACACTCACTCACTCACACACCTACACACTCACTCACCTACACACTCACTCACTCACCTACACACTCACTCACTCACTCACCTACACACACACTCACTCACCTACACACTCACCTACACACTCACTCACTCACCTACACACTCACAGCTACACAGAGTGCTGGACCTGCTGAGCCACTTCTACAGCCCCGAGAGCCTGGTCCCCAGTCACACCTACACAGAGTGTGGGACCTACAGGCAGATAGCGACTAGCACTGAGCTGTCTGTGAGTAGCACTCACTCACTCACTCACCTACACACTCACTCACTCACTCACCTACACACTCACTCACTCACCTACACACTCACTCACTCACTCACCTACACACTCACTCACTCACTCACCTACACACTCACTCACTCACACACTCACCTACACACTCACTCACTCACACACCTACACACTCACTCACTCACCTACACACTCACAGCTACACAGAGTGCTGGACCTGCTGAGCCACTTCTACAGCCCCGAGAGCCTGGTCCCCAGTCACACCTACACAGAGTGTGGGACCTACAGGCAGATAGCGACTAGCACTGAGCTGTCTGTGAGTAGCACTCAGTCACTCACCTACACACTCACTCACTCACCTACACACTCACCTACACACTCACTCACTCACTCACCTAC